CTTAGAGAAATTCACAATTTCAATAGGAGGCTTGAACAAGAGTATTCAGAGCAAACTGTTTACATGAACAAAAACAACAAAATGTTCATCAATGGGAGAATGGGTGAAAAAATGGATAAATTAATACAATGAAAAAACAACACAAAATAAATGAACCACAGCAACATGTGACAATATGGATGACTCTTGGCAATATAAATGAAAACAGTAAATACATTCTATACTATTACATATAGCATCTCATGTTTCCTTTTATGGTATAGAAATTTTAAATTAGTATGTTAAAATTTAATTAAAATGCAGTAAGGAAAACACTGTTTTGGGGGGAACACAGTTCTAAAATTTTAACACCAAGTTTTTGTAACTACCATTACAATAAAAATACAGAACAGTTCCATCACCCTCCCCCAACTCCAAACCCTTGGCAGCCATTGATCTGTATGCTGTTGTGATATTTGTACCTTTTGGAGAATGTCATATAAATGGAATCATATAGTATGTGACCTTTTAATATTGGCTTCTTAAATTCAGAATAATGCCTTTGAGATTCACCCAACTTCTTGTGTGTATCTCAGCTCTTTTTAAAAAAAATTGCTCAGTAATATTCCACTGTATAAAAGTACCACAGTTTGCTTATTCACTCACTGAATGACATCTGGTTATTTCCAGTTTTTGCTGAATATGAACAGAGCTGTTCTAAACATGCATGTATGCTTTTATGTGAACTTTTTCATTTCTCTAGGCAAAATGTATATGAATGTTATTGCTGAGTCATACAGTATGTAAGTTTAGAAGAAAAGGCCAAACTGTTTTCTAGAGTGACCATACTATTTTGCATTTCTATCAGTCACATATCAGAGTTCCAGTTGCTCTGCATCCTCACCAGGAATTGGTGTTGTCAGTGTATTTTATTTCAGCCATCCTATTAAGGGTGTAGTAGTATTGTATCATGATTTCATTTGATTTAAGAGACAGGGTCTCACCATATTGCCCAGGCTGGAGTGCAGTGGCTATTCACAGGCACACGCATGACACACTACAGCCTTGAAATCCTGGGCTCAAGTGATTCTCCTGTCTCAGAATCTGGAGACAGCCTCTGCACCCAGCTCTGACATCATTTTACTTTGCATTTTTCTAATGGCTAATCGTGTTTAGTATATTTTCTTGTGCTTATTGGCCATCTGTATATTCTCTTTGGTGAAGTGTCTTTTGCCCATTTTTAAATTGGGTTGTTTTCTGAGTTGGATACAAGTCTTGTGTCTGATAAGTGTTCTGCAAATATTTTTCTTCCAGTCCATAGCCCACTGTTTCATTCTTTTAATGGTGTCTTTCACAGAGCATTGCTTTGGTAGCTTTGTAACAAATCAATTGACCTTAGACTACCACTTACAGAAAGATATAGTATATTTACTTTTCCCTATTCCTTCTGTTAGATACAGCTAAGAACCCTGGACACTATATATAAAACATTATATATAAAACATACATAAAACAAACACAAGAAGACTCTGAAAGGTGACAAGAAGGCAGACCACCTAAGGACCTGGGACCCAAGGAATATATAGTGGTGAGTTCCCTGGGTTTTCTTTCATATATCACAGATTGGGTACTGGAGAAGCTGGCAACCCAGAAATGCCAATGGGCAGATTTTTTTTTTAAGCCCTAGGAAAAGCCTGCTCTGTTTGGTCAAAGGACTGGGAAAGGAGCAGCTTTGCAAGACAGAACATTTTTAGATAACAACATCTCTACTCCAGATAAATACCACAGAAAATAACTACAACCCAACCTAACCCCATCAACAAAAGCCAGGTTCTAATGAGACCACCCAACTTCCTTTCTCCATTCCTGGTTTCATGTCAGAGAAGACAGAGGGGGAAGCTTGGACTTTCACCCTCAATGAACAGTAACAAGGCCCTCTCCTAATACTTTCCCCTCACCTTTGTCAGCCCACCACATGTAAAACACGCAATTTCACCTGTACCTAGTGGCAAAGAGGTGCTCTTCCCTTCTCAGGTGGGATGATGTCAGACAAGGCCAAGTGGGGAGTTGGGACTTTTACCTCCAACCAGTGGTAATGAGGCTACCCCAAACCCCCACCTAGCTAAACTGAAATGTATGCATTCCCCAAAACTCTTATGTTTATGCCTGTGAGTTGGCCATTGCTATTTCTTTCTCTGCTTTGAATAGCCTTTCCTCCTTTGTCTCCTGAACACCTATCTTTTAAGGTCCTAGTAGAATGTTGTCTTCATGGTGAATTTTCCTTACTAGGTCCTAAGAATAATTAACGGTTCCTTAACTCTTTTCTTACAACTTGCTAATACCGGCTGGCGTGGTGGCTCATGACTATAATCCCAGCACTTTGGGAGGCTGAGGCCAGTGGATCACCTGAGGTCAGCAGTTCAAGACCAGCCTGGACAATACAGTGAAACCCCATCTCTACTAAAAATACAAAAATTTGCTGGGTGTGGTGGCATGTGCCCATAATCCCAGCTACTTGGGAGGCTGATGAAGGAGAATCGCTTGAATCCATGAGGCAGAGGTTGCAATGAGCCAAGACTGCACCATTGCACTCCAACCTGGGCAACAAAAGCAAAACTCAAAATAATAACAATAAATAAAAACAACTTGCTAATACCATGACCCCCATATTTTATGGCAGTAATATGTTTATCTGTTTGTCTCCCCCACTAGATTATGAGTATGTGAAAAGCACTTGATCATGTTTAGTCATTTGTTTCTCCAGAGCCTGGCAGAGCTTCACCCATAGTGGGTACTCAATGATGATGAACTTTTTACGTAAGTTCTTTAACTGAAGTCATTTTTTAGAAGAAAAGATATGGCTAGCCTTTAGAATTATTCTCATGCTTAATTAAACAGCACACTTTTTTATTTTTTACCGTAGTTACCCAAAGACCCTGCTTTTACCATGTTAGTATGAAGTGGGTATGCTGTTCTATATAGTTTGTTTTTGGATTGATTTTTTTTTCCCCTTTAATGCCTTTTTGCACATGGATCATTTTGTTTTTTTAATTTAATATTAATCCATCTAAAAAAGATATCATGACACAGCCAGGCACAGTGACTCATGCCTGTAATCCCAGGACTTTGGGAGGCCAAGGCAGTTGGATCATTTGAGGTCAGGAGTTCAAGACCAGCCTGGCCAACATGGTGAAACCCCATCTCTAGTAAAAAGACAAAAATTAGCCAGGTGTCGGGGCATGTACCTGTAATCCCAGCTACTTGGGAGGCTGAGGCAGGATCATTGATTCAACCCAAGAGGTGGAGGTTGCAGTGAGCCAAGACTATGCCATTGCACTCCAGTCTGGGCAACAAGAGCAAGACTCCATCTCAATAAATAAATAAATAAATAAATTTAATATTCATCTATTTAAAAAAGATATCATAACATGGCTGGGCATGGTGGCTCACGCCTGTAATCCCAGTACTTTGGAGGCCGAGGCAAGAGAATGGCTAGAACCCAGGAGGAGGAGGTTGTGGTGAGCCGAGATCGCGCCATTGCACTCCAACCTAGGCAAGCAAGACTTCATCTCAAAAAAAAAAGTAAATAAATAAATAAATAAATTTAATAGTCATCCATCTAAAAAAGATATCGTGGGCCAAGCGTGGTGGCTCACCCCTGTAATCCCAGCACTTTGGGAGGCCAAAGTGGGCATATCATGAGTTTAGGAGTTCCAGACCAGCCTGACTAACATGGTGAAACCCCGTGTCTTCTAAAGATACAAAAAGTTAGCTAGGTGTGGTGGCGCATATCTGTAAACCTAGCTACTTGGGAGGCCGAGGCAGGAGAATTGCTTGAACCCAGAGACGGTGGTTACAGTGAGCTGAGATCGCGCCACTGCATTCCAGCCTGGGCAACAGGGTGAGACTCTGTTCCCCCGCCGCCCCAAAAAAGAAAAAGATATCACACAACCAGTTGTGGTGGCTCACACCTGTAATCCCAGCACTGTGTGAGGCTGAGGTGGGAGGAACACCTGAGGTCAGGTGTTCAAGACCAGCCTGGCCAATGTGGTGAAACGCTCTCTACTAAAAATACAAAACTTATCAGCTGGCTGTGGTGGCACATGCCTGTAATCCCAGCTCTGTGGGAGGCTAAGGCAGGAGAATTGCTTGAACCCAGGAGGTGGACGTTGCAGTGAGCCAAAATTGTGCCACTGCACTCCACACTGGGTGACAGAGCAAGGCCCTGTCTCAAAAAAAAAAAAAAAAAAAAAAGCTCTGCTACAGTGGGAAAAGCATGTGTTTTGGAGTCACAATTAAATTTTTGTTTGACTGTGTTGCAATATGCATTCTCCAAAATGGCCAGCGTCTCTGCCAAGCCCTGCTCAAACTGCAGGTTTATGAGCAAAAATATATCCTGCTATTTTTAGCCAGAAAGTTTTGTAGTGATTTGTTATACCACCGCTGATAAGCGGATCTAATTCTGGTACCAGGAGTGGGATGCTGTAACAAAACTTAAGAGTGTAATTTTGGGACTGGGTGAACCTTGAAGACTGTGTTAGTGAAAACCTAAAGGGCTTCAAAGAGACTATCAGCTGAAGCCTGATATCCCTTGAGGAGGCTGTATGTGAGCATTTATAGATAAGTGAGGAAAATCTTATTTGAAGATGGAGGAATGCAGATCTTTTTTACATAGTGGACGAAATTTCAGCAACATTGTCACTTACAATAACATGGAAGCAGAAAAGGTACCTAATGAACTAGATGTTTATTAAAGAGATCCCCAGGCAGAGGGTTAAAAGTGCCACCTGGCTTTTTCTGTCTATTATAAAATGACAGAGGAGATAGGGTAAAGAGCAAACTACTAAGGATAAACAAGCCAGGACTCACTAATTTTTAATATAAGTATTTCTCATTCCCACCTTTTCCAGATGCCAATTGATGTTAAAAGAAATAGCTTCTGGGCAGAGATTAAATTTAGGGCGCTATTAGGACAATGTGGTTTAAAGATGAAGACAAGGGCATGACTGACTATAAAGCTCTCTATAAAGACTTCACATTTATGGTGGTGCTTCAAACACACAAAAGTCCTTCTAAAGATCTTAGAATATGCCTTGAAGATGTTTTTTGAAAAAGAATGAAATTTCTATGTATATTAAGTTTATTGTTCCACAGCAGCCTCACAGGGAGACCAAGATAGATAAAGACTGACCTTGACAAAGTTTGTCGGTGAGGCTTTTGTCAAATGGAGTACATAAACCCAAATAAGGTTTATTAAAAACCTACACAAATGTTAAGAAAATGATATTAACGGAAACACTACAATTTTAGATTAAAAGGAACAAAACATTAAAAAAAAAAAAGATAGGCCTTTGGACTCCTGAACTTCTATGAGCAGGATATTTGAATTTGGACAAATGATTTTTCTCCAGGACTTGGTTTCCTCAAATGTAAAATGGAACAATAATTACCAAGTCATAGGAACGTTGTAAGATTTAAATAAGCAAGGTGTTCTTTTCATAATGGGTCTTCAACAAATGCTACCTGGTATTACTTCAACTTATTCCCAGCAGTTGTTCTAGCTTTACTGCTTTGTACAAATTCACCTTCAGAGTGTTTTATATACATTTATACAAACATATATAAAATCTGATTTTATATAGGAGATCAGTCAGAGTAGTGGGAGAAATTACAGGCAAAGGACGCAAACCTTCTTCAAAGGTTGGAAGTTTTTGCAAAGCTTCGGGTGAGAATAAGCTGAAGGCAGCTGTTCTCTTACAGAGAAGTAGGTGCAAGGACATGTAGCCATTAGTGCCGGCAGCCCCCTAGCTGCTCTTACACTGTATGCCTCTGTCTGAATACTCCTTCCATCCACTGCTCATTGCTCCGCCTGGCTCTGTGGAACGGACCCAGCAATTTCATATCTAAATATCTCTGTGTATACATATTACATTATAACTTCTGTAACACTCTTTTGAATCACTTGCTCTAGGGCAAGCCAGCTACTACTATGTCCCAAAGATGCTCATGCAGCCTTATAGGGAGGTCTACATAGTGAAAAACTGAGGCCTCTTTCCTTGCTGACTTTCCAACCGATGTGAGTGAGCCACCTTGGAGGCTCCATGAAGATTTCATTACTATCTTCCCAAGAGTTCTTAAGCAACTGGATGCATTGGAAGATCAGGGTGACAACAGAAGGAGGGCCTGGTAATTAGTATGTTCCACTTTCTGATTTTCTGAAGGTGTAGGCTTGGGTTTCAACAACAGTGATCTTCCTGGACCTCGGAGAGTATTTTTAGCTAATGGGCAAACAGTAGTAGGAAACTTAAATGCTGTTATTTACCTTCTCTTCCTAACCCACAGTTCCATTCCAGAACATGAACAGTCTCATATGCTTGTATAGTGGTTCACAACTTAGAACGTTTATGTGGTGCATCACAAGATCCCTACAGGGTAGTATTAACCCAATTTTTCAAGAAGGAAACTATGTTTGGAAACTGTAAAATGCATATTAATAACTCTTTCTGATGAGCTTTTCTACCGGATCCGACGTTATCCAAAGTACAAAATTTTAAATTTTTGAGGGATTTCACTGAATCTTCAATACCAGGCACTGGCTTCGATTTTATGGCCTCAAATAACTATATATTGGGCCCCTTTCTCACCTGAAAAATAGGGGCGACAAGACCTTCTCTACAAATAAGATGAAGTAAGAACAAAGGCTGAGGGTGAACCTACCACGTCGTAGGGCCTCAAATAAATTCCTTCTCCTTCTTGCCCTTGACAAATGGCACAAGATATCACTACCATTCCCACTTCGCACGTGGAGGAAACCCAGGTCGAGAACGCTCGGATTTCCCCTTCTCTACTTGCAACTCCGTAACCCGCAAATCGGCTACAGACACCTGCGATGACCTCTTTATCAATTCTCGCAGGGTGGATTCTCTCTCTCGAGATGCCGTCTGGGGGGCTAGACGCCGCTAATAGTTGCCCTCAGGATCGAAGAAACTCGATCCTAATCCTCGACGGCACTTCAGGAACAAAGCTGCTCTCCCATCGTCCCTAACCTCGCTAGAGTAAAGGTCGCAGCAAAGCCACCGCTCCAACCGCCGGCGCCATCTTAGCCACTATGTGTGACGCCGCACGTAGCAGAGAGCGCAGCCGATTGGTTGGGAGACGGCAGCCCAGGAGAGGCGCGCGAAGCCAGAGACAGGAGGGTATGCAGGCGAAGCAAGGAGAACTACAATCCCGGCCTTCCTTGCGCGCACGATAGCAAACCCACAGCGAAAGAGGTTGGAGCTTGGATTAGGACCACAACTCCCAGTACCCTCCGTGATGGCTGTCCTTTTCTTTCATAACGCGGAGGAAAAGAAGGACAAGATGAATGGAGGCCTTTTGGCGTTTGTTCTTCGAAAGGCGGGAAAGGCGAACTACACCTCCCGACTGGCCGCGCGCGGCTGCGCCTGCGCCTTGTTACCTGTCGCCATCTTGCCCCTTCAGAGGCACCGCAAACAAACCCAATTCCTGGTGTCCCCTAGTCTTGGCGGAGGAGCCTTTTAGATGAGCCCCGAAAGGCCGGGCAGGTGGGTGACTCTCAGGCAGGGTCCTGGGAAATGCTGGCAGGCCAGCCAGGCTAGAGGAGCGCCGGGCCAAGCATTCGGAGCCCGGCTTGGGGCTCTCAGCCCCATCCTCCGTTGTTTCCTAACGGGATCGTGGGGCTCCCCGAGGTGGACTCAGGGGGACTCTGACAGGCCTGGTGCTGGGACTCCGGGGGTCCAGCTCTGGGAGACTCCTGGTGAGTTCAGGTCGTTTGGCTGGCTGTCCGCTCGCCTACATTCTCTTCGTTGTCCTCTCCGCTGGGGAGGGAGTGAGGCGCGGTTGCCAGCCGGGACCCCTGACAACAGCTGCTGGCCTCGAGGGGCTTGGGTCGTGGGCTTGACATTGGGACCGGCGCCGTGAGGCCGGGGTGAGGAGCCTGGGCGGGCTGCTCTTGTTGTGGTGCTGCGAGAGTGCGTGTTTGGAGAGGGGGCGGGGCGGGCTTGCCTCTTTGACATTTGAGTGGGAAAGGATCCTACGAGATCCCGGTTCCCCGAGTGGGCTTCGGCAACTACTGCCCGGGTTTCCGACGCGTTGCGGCCCCGCTGTGGGGTCCGCTGGCGGGGACGCGCCGGGATGCCGTGACGTGGTGCTCGTTTCGAGCAGTCGCCGGCCGCCTCCGAGATCCTGTCTGGAGGCGGGGACTGGTTTGTGGAGGGAGCGGATTCCTTTGGCTCTGCCCCTTCTTCCTCCTCCCCACCCTTTTTCTTTATGTCATACTGCCGGCTGGGGCGCGCAGTCCAGTTCTCCTAGCCCGAGGTTGGTTCTGAGCTGAGAGGACTATGGGAAGTAGGGGGAGGGGGGCTCACCTCAGAACACGGAGTTGGAGTTAGCAGCCCCAGCGCCTGGAACGGGATATAGCAGTTATTTCGGTTCGGTGTCTGACTTGTAGGCTGGACAGTGGGCTCATTCATTCATTCGTTTTACTCTCAGCTGGGTGAACCATTCACTTATCCATTTAACGAATACTTACAGCGGCTCTATTCTGTGCTAAGCAGGTTCTGTGTAAGTCCCCAGTGCCGTGTCTTTTTGTCTTTACACTAGGTGATTCCCAGTTGTAAGTAAGTTCCTGACAGCTAAACTTTCGGTAAATGGTTGTTTAATAGAATCTAAATTCATTGTTAAGACTTGAGAAGAAAGTTACTTATTAAGTTTCTTTAACTTGCTAGGAGCTTTACGAATTTTATCATGTAATTCATAAGTGAGGAAGCCGACGGGAGTCAACTTGCCCAAGGTTGGTAGTGCCACCTATTTATTAAATTAAATGCCAGCCACTATGAAAGAACTTTACATATAGTGTTCTTTAATACGCTTAACAAGCTGGGTGATATTAGCATTGTTTTATAGATGTGTAAAACTTAGACTCAATCAGTAAGTTGAAAAGTTGGGTCTAGAAACAGAGGTGTCTGGCTCTAAAGCCCATGCCCCTTCCACTGTGATAGTTCAAATGATGTAATTCTTGATTTGTCAGAAGTTGGTAAGTGTGGTGGTGAGAAACGATTGTAAAGTATTAGTATCTTTTTGGTTTACTTCTTAGCCTGTGGCTGGATCGCAAGGTGAGTGGCCCCTTGAATGTACTTTGGTAATTTGACGTTTTGTTTTTTTGTTGTTGTTGTTCTGGTAGGGAGGACAAGCTCTTTGGGGCTACCAAACAGAAGCAGCAATGCCTGTTGTGTGGCCAACCCTTTTGGATCTCAGCAGGGATGAATGCAAAAGAATTCTTCGAAAATTGGGTATGATGTTTATTTTTGATATTTTTTACCTTACTGATACTTTTCCCTTTCTGCCTGGGTCACGGCTGTTTACATGGACGTCATATCTCATGCTACATCAGAAATTCTTTGGAGATACAGTTCCCATCTTACTCATTGTGGTTTCCCCGCATGCCTAATGTAGTGCTTTGTAAATAGTAGGTAAGTGAATTGTAATAATACTAGTAGCTAAGATTTATTGAGGGCTACTTGGCTATTCTGAGTCTTCTATATACAACATCTAATTTAAATATTTTAAAAATTAGCTTTGTCCTTTTAAAGCCTAAAAGGTAGGTGTTGTTTTGTTTGTTTGCTTTGTCTCCATTTTACAGATGAAGCTTAGAAGCCAGGGTAATGCTGATAGACATGGAGTCAGTATTTGAACAAGGGAATATGCTTTCAGTCTTATTTTAACATACTCTTAACCTTCATGATTGTATGTGTGAATTACATACTATTTCTGAATTCTAAGTTGATGTAAGCTATGCTCACTTTTTCAAATTATGTCTTACTATCAATAATAAAACCCACTTTATGCTTGTAATTTATTATTTAGTGCTTCTTTTCCCTTACAGCAGCCTTTCTCAGCCAGCATTGAGGGAAGGAAGCCCTAATGCTAAGGTATCCATTGTATGTAAAGAACTGACTTCTCCCCAGGCATCCAGAATACCATTATTTTCCTTGGGAAAATTGAGAAAAAGAGTTATTACTCAAATCATTTTGTGTTCTGTGGTTCAAATGAGGATCTTTGGTTGAGAAATGCTTCCTTAGACTGTAAGGACCTTGTCTTATTTACCACTGTAGTCTCTGGCTAGCACAGTAAATGAAATAATTGAAAAAATAATTTGAAAAAGAAGATTAAATGTTTTGGCAGTGGATAGTAATTCTTTAGATAGCTGTGATTTTAAAGGGAAAGTATAGGTCTTGAATTTAGACAGTCCTGGGGTCTTGGCATTATTACAAATGACCCCTGTGGCAAAGGACAAGTTATTTATTCTTCCTAAATTTGTTGACAGTTTTGTTTTTTTTCTTTTTTAAAAAAAGAGGTAACACCATTTGCCTCATTAGTTTGTTATGTGTATTAACAGTATACCTAAAGGGCCCATCATAGTAAATCTGTACTGGGAATTTTTATTTTGTAAATCAGATAGTATCATAGCTGCTCTGGCCCTGCTGCCCTTTTATTCCACTATGAGGATTTCAAATCACTTTTTTAGCAGCATCTTTAGCAAGTCTAAGAGTTGTTTTTGGGGAGGGTGTGGTGGATGTCAATTTTTTTTAACCTTATATTTAAACTTTAAGTGCTAATCTGATGATAGTTTTCTACACTCTTACATACAATTAATATAACTTGTTAGCTGTCAATTATAAAGTTGGACTTTATTTACTAGGTGAAGTAATTGCAGAACATATCACAAAGACAATAGATTGGATTGGGGTTTCTGGGTTTTGGGGTCCTTAAATTGAGAGATTATGTTTAAATATAAAAGTGGTAACCTTTAAGTCTAAATTTATTCCTAATTTTAGTCAGAGCTGTGTGGGTAATGTTGCTGCAGAGCTGCTTCTATACGAAAGAAAACAGTCATCCTGTATAGTAATATCATCTTCATTGACCCCTCACTTTGGGAGGTGAGCTTTGATAGTGATTTGCCAAAGACTTCCTCCCCACCCGTTGACTTATTATCATAACAATGAAACCTTTGAATTGTCTTCAAATGCTAGCTCTAGGTTCAAAGTTCAGAAAAGATACATATAGTTTTTAAAAATTAGCGGTGTCCTTTTAAAAAATTATAAAACATTTCAATATAAAATATTAAATACTTAGATTTTACATGCAGATTAAAGAAATTAGGATAGTGAATTTTTGTATATATACCGAATGTGCCAGTGCTAGATAAATGCTGCTTTCTCTCTGTCCTGCCCCTTCCCTGCCCTATTTTTGTGATCATTCCTGAGCTGTAGCTCTAACATGGGGCTTTATGGACTATAGCGTATTTGAATGGCTGATTTAATAGACCAAATTGAGGGCTTTATAAAAATGGTTTGGCAAATCTTTTGTTTTTGGAATGTTCATATGTGTTTATTCTTTCATTCTACTTTTGTGTTAACACTACGATAGAATGGTATGAAAAATAATACCAGAAATTCAACTAAATTTGAGATATGTGGGGCTCTAAGGATACCCATCAAAATGGACGTCAGCCAATGTGTGAAGGAGATTGGGAAGCTAATAAGGGTTCTTCACAGTGAGTGAATTTCTTGTGAAGAGGAGGAAGTGATACGGATCCAATAGCTGTGGTAACTGTGTTCTGAGTCCTAGTTTTGTGTGTGTGAGGTTGCCATCTCTTGATTTTGTACATGGCTTAGACTTGAAATGTCAGAAATATTTGTTGTATTTTTTTAGTTTTATTTTCTGAGAAATAAAGTCTTGATCATCATAAATTCCACAAGTCAAAAGTATGCACTTCTTTTTCATTTTCCTCAAATTGTTCCCTCTCTTTGAGCACTTCATTTCTTTTTGTGGCATTACCATTCTTCTAAATGTTTCGCAAGCTGCAAAATCTGACTTTCTTCTGCCATTACTTCCCACAGTCAATCAGTTACTGAGTCCTATCAAATAAAAGCATTTTAGACTGGAATTATAGACTTTTCTCAGTCTGGCCACAAACTGCTTTTCCATTTTTACTTTTCTCTATTCTCTTAAATGTGTGAATTAAAATCTTTAAAATAGTTATTTGTATATGTTTCTTAGGTGCCTTGTTGAATTTAATCTCCTTGAGATTGGGATTTTATTTTGTTCCTAGAAATATTCTCTATGGTACCTGGTAGTGGTAATTTTCAATTAATAGTCTGATTTGAGTTAGTGATTATCTAAGTACAGACATGTTTTACTGCTCTTAGTGTAAAACTTTCAAACATAGTTACTGATAGTTAATGAAAGTTACTGGAATAATATGAAACATCATCCGTTCTTTTACTCTGTTTTGTTTTGTACATTTGCTTTTTTATTTTAACCCTGCCTGCCTGGAGCACAGTTCTCTTTCTGATTAAACCATCTGCTTCCACACTAGATGATGTATTTCTCCTCTGTACTTTTACCACTGTATGTAAACTGTATCAATTGTCTGACGACTTGTTTCACTGTAGCTCTTTATTCTAGAGTTAACTCCCTGAGGGCAGGCTTAGTACACTACTTGGTATATATAATAGGACTCAATACTGATCTGTTGAATGAAATATTTCATAAATCGGGGAGGGCATAAACATTTAGAGTATACTGCATTCTTGGTTATCCCTAGAGCTTTTCTCGACTCTATTCTGAGTCTGATAAAAGCTGAAATAAGTTTCCTGGAACTAAGTATTACTTTCACTACTCTGAGCAGCAGAGCTTTGTCCTTCAAGAGTGACCACCCCATTGAAATGTCTACAGAGTATCCAACACAGGTTGAATATGTAGGATGTTTAAATTTGGGGTAATTCGGTTGGACCAGACATTTCTTTTTTTTCTTTTTTTCTGTGACAGGGTCTTACGCTGTCACTCAGGCTGAAGTACAGTGGCATGAACATGGCTCGCTACGTCCTCTACCTCCCAGGCTCAAGTGATCTCCTACATCAGCTTCTTGAGTAGCTGGGACCACAGGCGCGCACTACCACCCTCAGCTAATTTTTAAGTTTTTTGTAGAGATGGGGTCTTGCCATGTTGCCCAGGCTGATCTTGAACTGAGCTCAAGCAATGCTCCTGCCTTGGCCTTCAAAGAGCTGGGATTACAGGTGTAAGTCGTGGCACATGGCCAGACTTTATTTATTTATTTATTTTTTAGGTAGGTTCTCACTCAGTTGCCCAGGCTGGAGTGCAATGGCATGATCATAGCTCACTGCATCCTTGACTTCCTGGGCTCAAGTGATCCTCCCACATCAGCCTCCTGAGTAGCTGGGACTACAGGTGTACACCACCACACTTGGCTAATTTTTGTATGTTTTGTACAGCCGGGGTTTTACCGTGTTGCCCAGACTGGTCTGTGAAACTATTGGACTTGGGCGATCTGTCCACCTTGGCCTTACAGAGTGCTGGGATTACAGGTGTGAGCTACCATGCCTGGCCCTGGCCAGATATTTCTATTTAATGTAAAAATTTTATTTGATTTAGGCAGCCCAGCCCAGTTGGGCTTGTTTTTGACAGAACTGTGAATAATATCAACTGAATGAGACTACTGGTTTATTATTGGTATAGTACCTAGTCTGTGAGCACTCATTCATTATTTGGCTCACATTTTAAAAATTTCTCTTTTGTGTCAGGTGTTGGCAAATAGCAAATACTCATAACAACTTGACTATGAAGACAACTCTAGTTTGGACATTTATTTCCCACAGTTCTGGTTCGCTCAGATTGGTTCATAGTTAATGGTTAAAAATAGTGACTGTTTTATTATTTCTTGCCATTCTGTGGGTTGCTGGCCTTGTCTGAGTTCTTTCAGGTATTTAGTGGTAGCTTATCTGGGGACGAGACTCAGCTGAGGTAGCTGGCCTCTCTCGTCGTGTGGCTTTTCTTTCTTTTCCTTTTTTTTTTTTTGAGACGGAGTCTCACTCTGTCACCTAGGCTAGAGTGCAATGGCGTGATCTCGGCTCACTGCAACCTCCTGGGTTCAAGTGATTCTCCTGCCTCAGCCTCCCGAGCAGCTGGGACTGCAGGCACCTACCACCACGCCTGGCTAATTTTTGTATTTTTAATAGAGACAGAGTTTCACCATGTTGGCCAGGCTGGTCTTGAACTCCGGACCTTGTGATCTGCCTACCTTGGCCTCCCAAAGTGCTGGGATTACAGATGTGAGCTGCCGCTCCCGGCTTCTTCACAGCTTGGTGATCTCAAAGTTCCCAAAGAGCAAGGCCCTGTGTGCAAGTACTTAGCAAGCTTATATTGTTGTTCCCTTGGCCAAAGCAAGTCGTTGCCAAAACTAGAGTCAGTGTGGGAGGGTACTACAAAAGGGTAGCATCCAATAAACTATACATGCCTCTCAGTGAGTGGCATGTTTAGTTTATTGGAGGCCATTGGGGACTTTTGGTTTTATATTTTAACCAGTCCTGGGGACTGACCATTTTATTTCTTAATTGTTATTTCTGTGGAAAGAGTGAAATGAAGATGTCTGGTATTAGGATTTAGTATATTATGTCTTAGTTGCTGCAAGAGCGTTTCATGTCATTGTTTCCCAGTGAGTCATTTTGATGATAGTTTTTATAGATACAGATGATCTTACTTCTGGAGGGTACCTACAAAGTCCCTTTTAGGTAAGGAAACAGGTTCAGGGATGAGAAAAGACTTGCTGAATGTCACACAACTAGTAAGTAAGTGGCAGTGCTGGAGCCAGAATATTTTGTTCTAATATTTTTTCCATTGCATAGTACTTACAGTACTTTCAACTATACAGGAGGGAGGTAGAATATAGTTTGAATTCTTAGGTAGGCCTAAAGAATTATTTTAAGAGTTGATTAATGAGGGTACTTTTAAGTAATGCTGAAAACTTCTCAGCCTTATCATATCACTTGGTGCCTATTCCCAGTTGTTGGTATCGTGTGTGTTATGTGTTTTTCAATAACAATGTGTGAAACAAAATACTGTTAGATTTTTTTACCTAAATGTTTTATATATACGACTTCTGTGAGGCAATGAAAAACAAAATAACATAAAATTATAAAAGCCACATTTTAATGTTATTAGATAAAATTTTTGAAAGGAATTTAAAACTGTATTTGCATTTGATTATTTTTAGTTTTTTTTGCCCTGAAGTTTCACTATACATAGCCATAATATTAAAATATTAAATGCCTATCTTGATAAAATAATTTTCTTCTTCTAGAATTGGAGGCATATGCTGGAGTTATCAGTGCACTTCGGGCACAGGGGGATCTTACCAAGGAAAAGAAAGATCTTCTTGGAGAACTATCAAAAGTTCTTAGGTAAATTACCATAAACGTTTGTGAGATGTGACTCTAGAAATTTCATTTTGTGGGATTTTATTACCTATCACTCTCAAATTAAGTAACTGTCAAACTAAGTTGAAGAACAGAGGTGTTCAGATTGTTGGTGCCGAGGGACTCCATCCCAGTTGTGTGCTCTGTTACAGAAAATTGTGTAACTTACCAATTATTGTGTAATCCAGAATGAATATCCAGAATGAAGAGCGTGCAAACTCTTCAGAAAGAGTTGAAGGCAAGTTATCTTACTTTTGGCCCACCTGGGAAAGGAGGTGCTTTTGACTTAGGTGAACGAAAGAAGAGCTGGCAGTAACTGGATATGGTGACCTAGAGTGGCATTTGTTGGAGGGAAGAGGTGATGTGAGGAAGATGCCTTAATTTACATAAATGGGTAGTGATATGTGGTCATTGCCTTAAACATAGTCTTTTTAAGTGAAAATATGGAAGAGACTCTTCCTGTTACTTAATATTAACATAGGGATGATATTAAGCCAAATTTTCAGTCTTATTGTTTTCATAGGTAACAATTTGTATTTGTCGTTGTTTATATTTCTTGTAAATTCTGTTTTCTAGCCCCTTACATGTTTTGGTCCATGTTATAGATTTAGCTTAAGTAGTACAGAATACAATTTGAAGAGTCGTATTCATTTTATTGAGTATTTATGAATGGAGTAGGTGTAACCTTTTAAAAAGTTGCTTACTATTAACTTTACATGTGTTTAATCAGGATTAATATAAGCATATTTTTACCATTGGTAACATTACATAATGTAGAAGATATGCAGCTGAACTGTTGAGTAATAAAGGAATATTACCCTGTTGTTAAGTTGTATAGCATATAGGAAAGAGTATTTTGCCACTTGCATTTCTTTATTATATTCACTGATCATAAAATTATAGACTCCTAAGCTTTAGAAAAGACCTTGGAAGACTTTTTTCTAAGTGACAGAAATCCTCTTAGCAGTCATGATTAGGAAGTCATTCAGTGTCTGCATGTTTAGATAGCAGGAAGCTCTGCTATTCTCATCCATTGTCTGACATTTCTGAGATTTGGAAGTAATACCTTGACATCAGGCTGAATTTGTCTTCCTGTGATTTCTAATTTGCAACTAATTCTTTCTGCAGTAACACAGAATTAGTATGAATCTTTTTCTAACACGTTATTTTTTGAAGATATATATTAGACTCCTGTCTATATTTTTTCACAAAGCAATCTTGTTCCCCTTCCCCCCAAAAACGTTGACTTAAACATTAATGAAAGTATAGGAAAGAGCTGCCTGCTTGGCAGAGTTCTATAATGGCTATTTTTCTTCATAGCATCTCAACAGAACGCCACCGTGCTGAAGTTCGGAGAGCAGTAAACGATGAACGGTTAACAACAATTGCACATAAGTAAGCCATTAGTCATACCATCCCTGATTTTTTATGACATAGTATAACATAGTTTTGAAACAATCTTCCTATTGTGTAGCAGGTTTCTGAGTCTTAAATATCTGTATGCTCAAGGATCCTGATCAGAGCACTCAAAGTGATGTTAACTGTTTATTCAGTTGGTTATATTTTTTTGCATTTGGTTAGACAAGCTTTAAGTACTCAGGTCAAATCCTGTTACAGTGTAATCTCTCTCTAACTAAAAATCACCACAATTTAGGAGATGATTCTCTTTTTCGAAGCCAAGTTCAGTAACAAAGAATTGTGACCCCTAAAATTGAAATATTGAAAGCCCCTTAGAAGTTCTTTGTATTGATATTTGATATGTTATTATCTTATAAATAGGCATTGTAACTCTTTTGATATCTGACTCATTATTTCATGTATTTTGAGATTCAGAAAAAAATGTCAAATGTGTTCTCTCTTTAAGAAATATGAATATAGCATCCCTTAATTTACTTTTAAAAAGCCAATGAAATAAAACAATCAAAGATTCTTGGCAAATTGTTTTCTGATCATTATAACTATTTGAGAGGTGGGGCGGAGGGTGGTAGAGGATTGAAGGCAAGGATCCAGTCTTAATTGAGTGTGTATGGAGTCAGTGCCTCCTAAAGAATACAAAGGAACAGAAATTAGCCTTTAAATGTTTATAAAAGATGATAAAACATTTTACAAAATATGTTATAGTATAATTCGTTTTTTATTTTTATGTTTTATAGTGTGAAATAAAACTAAAGGGAAAAATTCAGTGCATTTCTGTAATGTGATAACTTAAACATTGTATTTAAACCAATTGGCAATATTTGAATTGACCCCAAAGAGCTTCATGTTGTGCTTCACTGTCCCTCATTTTACTTAACATAAAATGGGGTGCTACCTTTTCAACAGCATAGTTTGAAAGTTGAGCTGTTTATTCTGGAATTTCGAGATTCTTCAGTGGTAGGTATGCACTGTAGAAATTTGGAAATTTTCTGTTAGAGACATTTAGTAACCTAGTTGCCAGGCTAACATGGTTGAAACACTCAAATATTAATTAATGTGTTCTTTTTTTAATTTGCTCTAAGCTTTTGAATTGGAGTGTTCTAGAAATAATGGTAACTGAGCCTAGATTCTAATTTGAGAACTGGTAATAGGAAATTTATGTGCTAGATGGTAAAGTAGTAAACCTTAGCTTGCATTCAGAGGCACTTAGAAACGAATTAGTACTGTAGAAGGAATGGTATTGTGGGGCGACTAGTTGTAAGTTGATGCATCAGTTTCATACTTAAAGGATAACATTTATTTAGTCTCCTTTTCCTTTTTTCCCCTTTAAAGAATGAATTTATCCTTATATTTGGGTGAAAGACCAAGTTACAGGTATGCAAATAGGTTATTATTATTTCAGGCTTTTTCTTGTATTTATTTCCAAATTGAAGCTCTCAATTATTCAGGGACACATTATTCCATTTATGAATTAACCATGCCCCTTGCTTTTCCTTTTCTTCCCCTCCTCCCCCTCCTAATACTGCCCACCCTTTAGCCATTTTGCTGCTTGGGAGTACCTCTAGTCAGAGGGTGGGAAGGGAGAGGAGGTGAAAATTTTAATTAGTCATTTTATTACTTGTTAGTTATTCTGGAAAAGGTTTGGTAGAAGAATTTACAAGTATTTGCCAAAATATTTTTGGATAACATATGAGTTTCTTTAATCTATTTGACCTCTCCCTTTCCCTCCTCTCTCCATTAGCATGGATAATTGAGAGTTGGCTTTTATCTGCCTGTTTCCTCTTTTTTCCTCTCCTTTCTGATTTCTTTAATACATAAATTTCATTTTTTGAAAAGAGTTTACTTCAGTGTATAATTTTGAGCTGCTTAGGTTTTTCTGTATTCTTGTTTTAATATTTTGTATTATTGTTTTAGTTGGATCAGATGTGTTATTTACTTGTTGAGCTCGGGGTCAGTGAGTGGGGATTGGTGAGGAAGGAATAGATCTCTCATTCTTTCCATTTCCTCTGCCTCTTTCTCTGAGAAGTAGCAACAGAGCCTAGTTCCAGAGATTATCTATAGGAGGGCTTCATACTCTGAGCCTAGAAAAACAACTAAAGGAATGCATCTGAACTGACTGCATTCCCTTTCTCCTTCTCTCCCCTCCCCCCACTTAAAATAGCAGTTTAGGCCAGAAGGAATGTGGTTGAAAGGTGATGAGAAAGCTGAGAAGGTTGAGCACAAAGGAGGAGGAAACAAAAGGAGTGGGGTATCTGGGATCAAAGAAAAGCTTTTCTTGTGGCTTGAAACATAACACGTTTATTGTTTGGCATCAGGCCACTTATTAAGTAGTTTGATACTCTTAATTCAGTTTTTAGTTATGTCAGTATATTACAGTATTAATGCCTTGGATGTCAAGGAGCTTTGGATATTTTGATTGGCCCGCTCTTGGCCTTGTTGTCTCTAGATTTAGGAGAAAGTGACTATTTGGAATTTCTGCTCTCTTAACCCTTTCCTCAATCAGTCAGACATTCACAGGATACTGAATCAGTTTCTATGTGAAGATGAGAATTTCTTACTGGTGCCTTATATACCAAAAGGTAGTTTCATTAGTATAATCTTAGATTTCTCAGAAAAGGGACTGGAGCAAGGTTTCTCCTGTAGTACTTAGTAGAAATAGAGAGACATTCTTATACTCAACACTAAGATCTATATCCCAGTGAAGCCCTCCAGGAAGATGTTTAGTTTATAAAATCTAGTTTAGATGACTTGTGCAATTAATACATATTTACACTTACATCTTCATTTCTGTTTTTTTTTTTGAGACGGAGTTTCACTCTTGTTACCTAGACTGGAGTGCAATGGCACGATCTCAGCTTATCGCAACCTCCGCCTTCTGGGTTCAGGCAATTCTCCTGCCTCAGCCTCCTGAGTAGCTGGTATTACAGTCACGCCCCACCGTGCCCAGCTAATTTTTGTATTTTTAGTAGAGACAGGGTTTCACCTTGTTGACCAGGATGGTCTCGATCTCTTGACCTCGTGATCCACCCGCCTCGGCCTCCCAAAGTGCTGGGATTACAGGCGTGAGCCACTGCGCCTGGCCCTTACATCTTCTTTTCTAAGCAAATAGGAATTTCTGATCTAATTCTAACATAATACTTAATTTTTCACTCAAAGTTTGAGCATGTTTGCATGAGTAGAAATTTGGAAGATTTATAGATCTTTCTAAAAGTTGCAGTTGTATCTTTTGCACTGCAAGTTTTGTCTTTTCAGTAGCATATGTTCATGTACTTCAAATTATTAATCTTCCATAATTTCTGCCACCACTTAAGCAATGCACCAGGTAAGTGTAGATATCACTTAATTTGTGTGGTAAATCCTCACTAAGCAAGCTTATTAGTGATATTCTAAAAAACAGATAGCAAAATAGAAGTAAGCCAAGAAAATGCTGAATAGCTTTCAGAATTTTTTCTTATAACAGTTAGCCTTTCTGCCTCTTTCTTGTTGGTACCATTCTTTGTTTCAAAACTAGCATCAACTTGGGGATTATGTAATAACAAATTTGTGAGTGGTACTGAAGTTTTAGGAATTCTCCTTTCCTTTGTCTTAGGTAGGACTGTGTTACACCATAAGGGAAATTTACACATTTACCACAGTAACCCAGTTGGATTCATCAGCTCTTAGAAATTCCTTTCTGAACTGAACTTAAATCCTTGAATTGTAAAAGTGATTTATTCCATTCAATGAAAGTTGGTAGTAATTTGACACCAGTATCCAATTGCTATACATAAAGGCAAAACCCATTTGAAAAATTTTATACTTTCTACTTATCTGTCAAATAATTTCAGTTGTATGATTATGCTTGCTGGAGGAGACATGTATTATTTGCTTGAACTTAGGCAAGTTATTTGACCTCTCTGGCTCAGTTTCCTCATCTGTAAAATGGAGGTAATAATAACACCAAATTCATAGGATTGAAGAGTTAATACATGTAATATGTTTAGAACAATCCTTGAAATAAGTGCTTAATGATAACTGTCATCATTACTGTCAATATCATTGTTACTCCACTGCCCACTAACAAGGGCTTTTGTATACTCTTACCTAAATCCGAGAATGGGTGGACATACAAAGTCTTAAACTCCAAGTTAGTTTGAAGAACCTATGGTTTCAAATGCAGAAATATTTTTGATTTAGTGAAGACATTGATTATTTCTGAGTGAATTTTATTTTATTTATTATTATTTTTTTGAGGCGGAGTTTTGCTGTTGTTACCTAGACTGCAGTGCAATGGCACGATCTCGGCTCACCGCAACCTCCGCCTCCTGGGTTCAAGCAATTTTCCTGCCTCAGCCTCCCAAGTAGCTGGGACTACAGGCGCGCACCACCATGCCCAGCTAATTTTTGTATTTTTAGTAGAGACAGGGTTTCACCTTGTTGACCAGGATGGTCTCGATCTCTTGACTTCATGATCCATCTGCCTCGGCCTCCCGAATTGCTGAGATTATAGGCGTGAGCCACCGCGCCCAGCCCTGAGTGAATTTTAAACTTCAGCACTAATCATTGGTCAGGGTCTTTCATGGAGCCAAGTCAAGAGAAGTGATACAACTACCTTTTGATATTTCAACCTCTGATTGGATTCTCGGGATAAAATTTGCTCAAGAAATTTAGGGTAGAGAAACTGAGAGTGGTGTTTACCTAGAGAGTTCAACTGTCTTAATTCCTTCTTAGAGTGAGGGGTTATATAAATAAATAAAAATAATGGTGGGTTTCTTCTAGTGTCCTTAGATCTAGTCTATTTTTAATAGGAAGGATAATAACAATACATTGTCAGTGACACATATGGTTGTATATACAGCACTCTCCCATTCTTTTCTACTTAGTCTCCCTCGTTTACTGTCTCAGTTTCCCTTGTTTGAAAGCCTTAGAACCTCTGGCCGTGTAGGCAGTTAGATAATTTTAAAAAGAGTCAGTGAACGTTATCTTTAATTATTAAGGAAAATCTGAGTTTTAAAATTATATATAAAAGTGCTTTTTACTTTCTTGTATTAATTATAAAATTGTTATAAAAATTAGTAGAAATACTAGTTTCATTAGTGATAGCAGATTTAAATTAATGAAACCAAAACTGATATTTATTTAGAAGGCATAGGAAGATTTTTTATAGTTTCAGTTATGCTCATGATAAGATTTAGATTTAGAATAAACTGTGTAAGAACCTAAGTGTGTGACATTCCTTGAATTCTGATTCATAATTTTGATCTTGCTTGCTTAAAATAAAACCTCTCCTATCCACTCAGGGCACTTTTTATAATTTAAAAAGTTATATATGTTTGAGAAAATATGTTTGATTTGTTTTTAGTGATTGAAAACCCTTGTAGCAGCACTTTCTTTTTTGTTTAGTATGTCTGGACCTAATAGCTCTTCAGAATGGTCCATTGAAGGTCGTCGGTTGGTACCACTGATGCCCCGCCTCGTTCCCCAAACCGCCTTTACTGTAACAGCTAATGCTGTTGCTAATGCAGCTATCCAGCACAATGCATCTCTTCCAGTGCCTGCAGAAACAGGAAGCAAGGAAGGTGAGTGGAAAAATAAGCCTCTGTTAGATATTACTTTCCTTAGAATCTTCAAGAAATTTCAAGGAAAGTTGTCTTATTTTTCATCTACTTTTATTCGAGTGTTTAAAAGTTATGAAATATAGTAGGAAACTCTAATTCTGAAACTAGACTGCCAGGTTTTTAGTTTTGGACAAAATTTAAGTCTTCCTTTTGTCAAAGGTATGAATTATGTTAATCATCAAAATTGCAAAAACCTCAGAATGGATTTTTGATATCAGTGTGTTTTTAAGAATAGAAAGCCTTAATGGATGACATTAGAAAATAAATAAGGTAACAAGTCATTTAGCTACTAAAAAATAATTCTGAACTGATAGCTTTAGAAAATAAATCTCTGTTTTCATTTTCTGGAATCAGTGATATATGCTACTACTTTGTTCTGGTCAGTGTGCTGAATCCATTCCCTGGTAGAAGAGCTTTCTTATCATTATTTATCTAGTAAATATACTTGCTTTAGAAATTCTTCAATTCTCTAGAGGCCACCAAGGGTAATATTAAATTTGAGAGAGCTATTTGGATTGACTCAAGTAGTTTAGTTTCGTGTTGCATGACAATGACTCTAAAAACAGTGCATTTGTCAGATTACTCTGGGGAATTGTCTTTGCTTGCCTAGCAATGGCTGTGGAACAGAGTAAGTAAAACACTCTTTTTATTCATGCGAGGCTCTGTTTTAGGCTGAGGAAAGGTATATTTGGAGGAAGACTGTACAAACTTGGACTCCATTGAGTTCCTCCGTCTACCGGCTCTCAGGTAGAGTGGAAAGAATGTAGAGTTTCCACTAGTCAAATATATGTTTGAATCTTAGTTTGTCATTTCCTAGCTGTGTGACCTCCAGCAAGTTTTAGCTTCTGTTAGCCTTGGATTCCTCATCTTTAAAATAAGAATGCAGTATTGTGAGAATTAGTGAAGATGGATGGAAAGGATTTAGTGTGGTACTCAATAAATGGTGCCTGTAACCTATTCTTATTGTTGAGCTGTATCCCTTCATTGAATGATAGGTTGAAATATGATGTTGTTATTATTTTAGTTGAGTTGTTGTGCTGCTTGGTTGGCAATGACTAATGAGTTGATACATAGAAAAGAACGTTACCTTGATTCTTCTCTAGTGGCCACATTGGAAATTGCTAAGGTTAGGGAAAAATTATGTGATGCTGCTATTAGTATTAAAAGGGAATACAAGTAAGTGCCTGTTGTCTAACTCCTGCCATGAGTGAAAACTATTTTCATTTTTCTCAGTGTAATTTTAAACTTTATTTCTTTGTAACTGTGTCTTTCTCCATTAGCAATGTCACCTATAGATAAACTGTTAAATACTTTGGAAAAATCTGTTTAAGTGATAATTTTCAGGAAAGGTTATTAATGCCTTTTAACCTGTGGACCTAATACCTAGTACTGGCCTCTAACTTCTGATCACATAATAATGTTAAAATTGGCCTGCAATAAAAATAATTTTTCTGTATTCCTGGACAGTTTTGGTGAAAGTTAACAGCAAACTTTTTTATCGTTCCTTCAGTAGTGGTTTGCTATTCCTACACAAGTACCACGTCAACCCCAACCTCTACCCCTGTTCCAAGTGGCAGCATAGCAACGGTTAAGTCTCCAAGACCTGCCAGTCCTGCCTCCAATGTAGTTGTCTTGCCAAGTGGAAGTACTGTTTATGTCAAAAGTAAGTGATACTCTCAGTGTTATCAGGGCCGTCTTGGCTAAATGCTGCAGTCTAGGCTCCGATTAGACCTGCCTTCCTGGATTAAATCATTGGTCCACTAGCTGTTAGCAGGGTTAGTTTTTGAAGATTCTAAAGAATTCCTTTCTTTACATGTGACTAGGTATATATTGCTTTTTTGATCAGTTCTGGGATTTGAGATGTGCTTGTCATTTTTGTTCTCTGTGGGTAATCTGCCTTTGAACAGCGCTGGCCTTAAGAATCCACTTTTTTGATTGTCATGAAATAGGAATGTGGTGAATAGAAACTGAAGGAATGTACATATGTGATTTATTCAGTATTTCTCCTATAATTTTAATCTTTTTAGTATTTTCTTAGATTATTTTATATATTATCCAACTGTTAGATTCAGTGAAACATTCTAGAGAGCCTATCTTTATTTCTAATTGACTATAAGTTTTGAAGTTTCTTTTATTTGCAGTTTTTAATTCCTTGATTCTACCCTATGTGAAGCAGTTATGTGGTTTCTAGTTCACTGTTTTTTTTTTCCCATCTTTTTGTTTTTAATTTCTGTTATGACAATGTTGCTTTCTATTTATTTTTGATTTTTTAATTTGTAAAGAAAAGGAGCTGGTACAGTGGTTCACGCCTGTAATTCTAGCACTTTGGGAGGCCAAGGTGGGCAGATCATCTGAGGTTAGAAGTTCCAGACCAGCCTGGCCAATGTGACAAAACCCTGTCTCTACTGAAAATACAAAAGAAAAATTAGCTGGGCATGCTGGCACATGCCTGTAGTCCTAGCTACTTGGGAGGCTGAGGCAGGAGAATTGCTTGAATCTGGGAGGCGGAAGTTGCAATGAATCGAGATTGCACCACTGCACTCCAGCCTGGGTGACAGAGCAAGACTCTGTCTCAAAAAAAGAAAAAAAAAAGGAAAAAGAAAAAGAAAAGAGGTTGATTTAGCTCATGATTCTGCTGGTTGGAAAGTCCAAGTTTGGGTGAGGATCTTATGCTGCTTCAACTCATGCAGAAAGTAGAAAGGGAGAGTTGTATGCAAAGAGATCCCATAGTAAGAGAGGAAGTGAGAGACAGAAACTGAGGAAGCCAGTCTTTTTTAATTTTATTTTTTGCTTTGTTTTTTCTATCAACTGGAGGTCACTAATATTTAATTCTCATTTTTCTCAGTATAGTTATAAACTTGATATTTGTAACTTAGAAGTAAAGTTTGCTGTTTTAGACAGGAATGATTCTAGGTCTTTGTCACCCCTGTTTAAATTAGAGTTAAAAAATTGAAGGTGTAGGGGTAATATTTTATTACTAATTTCATGAGTCATGCTATATAATTGTTGATGTCTGCTCTGCAGAGATTTCTTACGTTGAATTGCTATGTTTTATGTTTCTCACTTGATTTTTAAGAAGTCTACAAAAACAGTTGAGGCTTTAGTTCATAAAGAGAAAACTCAGGATCTTGGACTGTTAATTAAATTTATATCTGATTTCTGCGGATTTAGCCAAGGTGGTCTTTTTAAATAACTGTAGAGATCTACTTTGATCATTTTCAAAACTCTAGGCTGGAGCTAGATGTGGTGGCTTACGCCTGTAATCCAAGTACTTTGAGAGGCTGAGGTGGGCAGATCACTTGAGGTCAGCCGTTTGAGACCAGCCTGGCCAACATAGTGAAACCCTGTCTCTACTAAAAATACAAAAACTAGTCAGGTGTCATGGTGAGTGCCTGTAATCTCAGCTACTCAGGAGGCTGAGGCAGGAGAATCGCTTGAACCTGGGAGGCGGAGAATCTCTTGAACCTGGGAGCCCAAGATCGTGCTACTGCACTCTAACCTGGGCAACAGAGCAAAACTCCATAATAAATAAATAAATAAATAGGCCAGGCTTGGTGGCTCATGCCTGTAATCCCAGCACTTTTGGGAGGCTGAGGCGAGCAGATCACCTGAGGTCAGAAGTTTGAGACCAGCCTTGCCAACATGATAAAACCCTGTCTCTACTAAAAATACAAAAAATTAGCCAGGTGTGGTGGCAGGCAACTGTAATCCCAGCTACTTGGGAGGCTGAGGCAGGAGAATCACTTGAACCTGGAAGACGGAGGCTACAGTAAACTGAGATCCTGCCACTGCACTCCAGCCTGGGTGACAGTGTGAGACTCCGTCTCTTAAATAAATACGTAAAATACTGAAAGTGCATTTCAAACATGAAGAAACTATTTCACATAGTATGTGGTTTTAAGTAGCAGGAAGATTTATTTCTTTATGCTACCAACAGCATTAGTTTAGGATATAATCATTTATTTACCTAATTTTGTATGTGCAAGGCACTATACTGGGGAAACAAACCAATAAGACTTAGTCATTGCCCTCTGGGAGCCCCTTACTAATGGGAGATACGTTGACAATCACATTGCCATGTGGTAAGTGATACAGCTTAGGGGAGAGGTGGATTAGCTTTGCTTAGAGGAGTAAGGGAAAGCTTCACTGAGGAGATGGCTTGTAAGATGATGATTGTAGAATGATGAAGAGGTCATTAATAGTAGATGGTATTCCTCAAGGAACAGTAGTATATGGATACTCAGAGATGGACAGAATGTGGTTAGGGTGCCTTTGGGGAATGGTGAGCAGTTCAGAATCCCAAGATTATAGGGGTACCCAGGGTTGGATGTGACAGGTATTGTGTTCTTGGAAAGATAGGGAGTCTTGAATCATATGGTAATGATTTTGTGTCTCATCTTGTAGGTAGATAAAAACCACTAAAGGATTTTAGGCAGTGCATAGGCATGATTAAATGTGGAATTTTTAACAAGTAATAGGATGAAGGGTAGATAGAAGTGGACAGATGGAAGCATGAACATCTTTTAGGTGGTTGTTGCTAAGATACAGGCAGGAGATAAGAAGGCCTGACATGGCTGTCATAGGTTTAAAGAAAGCAGGGAAGGCTGGGTGTGGTGGCTTATTCCTGTAATCCCAGCACTTTGGGAGACCGAGGTGGGCAGATCACCTTAGGTCAGGAGTTCAAGACCAGCTTGGCCAACATGGTGAAACCCCATCTCTGCTCAAAATACAGAATTTAGCTGGGCATGGTGGCAGGTGCATGTAGTCCCAGTGACTTGAGAGGCAGAAGCTGGAGAATTGCTTGAACCTGAGGTGAGATCACACCACTGCTCTCCAGCCTGGGTGACAGAATGAGACTCCATCTTAAAAAAAAAAGAGGGAAGGCATTCAGAGACCACTTCTCTGAGGGAGGACTGATAGGACTTACTGGCGAACAGCTTAATACAGAGAGAGGTCAAGGATGATATAAAGATTTTAAAAATAAAGTGTAAAATGCAACATTAGTTTGGTATACATATAGCAGTATTGTCCTTGCCCTTCAGGTGTAAGCTGTTCAGATGAAGATGAAAAACCCAGAAAACGAAGGCGAACAAACTCTTCCAGCTCCTCTCCCGTTGTTCTAAAGGAAGTTCCAAAGGCTGTTGTTCCAGTCTCAAAGACGATCACTGTGCCTGTGAGTGGTAGTCCCAAGATGAGCAACATCATGCAGAGCATTGCCAACTCCTTACCACCCCACATGTCTCCTGTGAAAATAACCTTCACTAAACCAACAACACAGACAACAAACACAACAACACAGAAGGTATGTGGTGGAGGGAGTCTCTGCCTGCCAATTGTTTCTTTCAGACAGTATGATTCAGATTTAATAAACATGCACTAAGTGCTTACTATGTGCTTGGCATTATGCTGGGGATGTTCACATCTTTTACTTTGTTTAATTCTCCAGATAAGGCTTTGGGATAGGTATTATTGTTTCACTTTTGCAGATGAGGCTTTGTGATGTTAAATGACTTGCCTAATACGACACAGCTAGCCTGTCTCTTCTAAGAATTTTGCTCTATTTTATAGTTGTAATCCTATTTGGAAAAAAATTAAAATAGAAAAAAAATTTAACCTATATTTGTATGACTTTCCCTTTAGGAACTCAGATTTTAATTTGCCAAAGTAGTAAAGTTGTCAGGTGTTTCATAGAAGAAAGGAAGGATATAATTAATTGAATAATTTTTGTCTTCTTTTTAAATTCTTTGTATGCTATTATTAATTCATTCCTAAACTCTTATCTAAATATGTTGAAGTCATCAGTATTCTGTCAGTTTCATGTTATTAGACCCCTCTGTCTTCCCACACTGATCTGGATGGACCCTGAAGGCTCTCTAGGCTTGTTGCACACCTGTATTTCTGGGATCTCCCCTTAACCATCATTCTGATCTTCTTTGTTAGTTTCTTTGCTCATTTTGCTGGAGCATATCCTCCAGTAGCTACCTGGTGAATGGGGAGATGGAAAGTAAATTTTAGGAGACCTTGCATGGTAGATTGCAAATTTCTTTATTCTATCTTCCCACTTTTTTTATGGTTTAGGAAAAGTATTCTAGGTTGGAAGACATTTTCCCTGTGAAGTTTTGAAGGTATTGTTGCTCTGTTGGCTTCTAGCTTCCAGTATTACTTTTGAGAAGCCCAGTGCCATTCTAATTTCAGATCCTGTTTTACTCTTTGCAAACTTTTAGTAACTTTCAGAATTCTCAAATTTCAAGGTAATGTTCCTTGGTGTCGGTCTTTATTTCATACATTAGGTTGTATACCCAGTGGGCCCTTTTATTCTGAATATTCATATCCTTTAATTCTGATACATTTCTTGAGTTACTTATTTGATTTGTCTCTTTTTTTTCTTTTTGAGTCACCTGCATTTGTCTATTGAACTGCCTGGACTGATCCATTTATCTTTCTCATTTCTATTTTTTATTTGTTTGCATTGTTTTCCTACTCTAATGTAATGGTTAAAAGCCTGTGTTTTGGAACTAGACTTCCTGGATTCAGATCCCAGCTTTTGCCGCTTACTAGCTACGTGACTGTGGGAAAACTAAACTCTCTACCCAACCTTTTTCTCATTGATAAAACAGAGAAAACAATATTTTATAGGATTTTTGAGTGTAAATACATGAAATAATATATGAAAAATTGTTCAAGCCTTGAACGTAGTAAATGCTCAGTATTGTTATTTTCTTTATCATTTATTTTTCACTACATTTATAGAATTTTTCATTTTTGCTCTCATGCTTTAAATTTCTAGTAACTCTTATTCTCTGAAAGTTCCTTTTAAAAAAATATATCCTGCTCTTTCATAGAAGCATTGTATTCTCTTATCTAATGAGATTCATGACAATTTTTAAAATGTTTTCTGTTTTCATGTTCTCTCTCTTACCTGTAAGTTCCTTTTATCTGTTTGTTTTGATCTCTTTTATTTAGTTTTCTTAAGTGTATGACTGTCTTGCTTACGAATAAAAATAGGCATTAGAAATGTGACAGAAAGCTCTGTGTGCATGAGTGGGACATGCTGACTGGTGACTTTCATTGGAAATTGACCTAGCTGGACTATTTTTTTCAGGAACATTCACTAACCCTTTACCTCCACCATTTGTCACTGTCTTTAGGACTTTTTCTTGGACTGGTAGATTGCTTAGAAATATTACAGTCTTCTACCTTGAGTACTATGAGCCTGGCTGGCAGTTTTGTTTGGGGGTTAAATAGAGGGAAAGGGCTAGGTGGGCTCACCGTTCATTATATACACTTTACTTAACTCCTCTGTTTTTAGCATCGTACCTGGCCCCTTAGATGTGCCTGATATCAGATGTGCCAGATTTCTTTGTCAATCTCCCTCATGACAGTAAATTCCTAGCCTTTCTTTAGGAAGGGGAAGAGTAACTAGGGATCTAAATGGTTCTTAGATTTTCAACTAATTTTCCTCTCTTTAGTTGCTCATTTATCCCCACTTCAGAAGTATCTGGTGCTCTCAATTCCTGAGTCTTTCTGGGGCTCACTAATGCAGGTTGCCGTATTTTTTGTTATTGTGTACTGCCTTAGGTTTTTACTTCCTTGGATATGCTTAATCCATTCTTATTTGTCTGTTTTTCAGTTTCCAAACTTTATGCGGTTGGCTCCTTTTTGTTTTGACCTTACAGGTTTATGTGCCTTTTCCCTTTAAAAAAAAAAACTCTTCATACTGTTTTAGAGGGATTTTGGGGAAGGAATGGAGGTAAATTCTGTATTCAGTGTATGGTCTTTCCACCTTCAAATCTTTAGTCCTGTGATAGCTTTCCTATAAAGAACCTCCTTGAGTTTCCTGCAAAAATGTCATTATATTATATATTAAAAATTATTATTTTCTTTTTTTTTTTTTGAGTTGGAGTTCCGCTGTTGTTACCCAGACTGGAGTGCAATGGCATGATCTCAGCTCACCACAACCTCCGCCTTCTGGGTTCAAGCAATTCTCCTGCCTCAGCCTCCCGAGTAGCTGGGACTACAGGCACGCGTCACCATGCCCAGCTAATTTTTGTATTTTAAGTAGAGACGGGGTTTCACTTTGTTCACCAGGATGGTCTCAATCTCTTGACCTCGTGATCCACCCGCCTCGGCCTTCCTAAGTGCTGGGATTATAGGCCTGAGCCACCGCGCCTGGCCTAAAAATTATTATTTTCTTAATAACTAGAAGTGATAATGAGCTGATCTGTGGGATATAATTCTATTTTCAGTCTGAAGATGAGAAATTATGGTATGATATTAAAATCAAACAAAAATTTTTATAGTCTGGAGTCCTGGGTTGGAACCCTAGCTCTTCTAGTGTGACCTAAATAAATTAGTCTTTCTAAATCTGTTTACTCATTTATAAGATGAGAATGATATCACTCTTAGTACATTATTGTGAGGATTAAATAAGACTGGATATTTAAAGTGCAATGTAAGGTATGTATTCAACAAATGTTAGTTCCTTCCCTTGCAGGTATTTTATGGAATGTGGTGTTTTGTTTATTTACCCTGTTGATTAATGAGCTGTTCCAAATAAATGAATTCATCAGTTCATTGAAGTATATCCCTTCATATATAGAAATTAACTATTTTTGATGACTTCTTTTTTTTTTTTTTTTTTATAATTTTTTATTGGATTATAGGTTTTGGGGTACATGAGCAGAGCATGCAAGACAGTTGCGTAGGTACACACATGGCAGTGTGCTTTGCTTTTCTTCTCCCCTTCACCCACATTTGGCATTTCTCCCCAGGCTATCCCTCCCCACCTCCCCCTCCCTTGATGACTTCTTAAGTTTTATACTGAAGATAAGTTTTACATTTTATTTGTTGACTCCAAGATAATCTTTCTGAATGTCACTTTTTATATGCTATTATAGTTATTGCTTTCTGGGCTGGCCCTATATTAGGTGGCATCAGTCTGCTATACCCTGAATTTTTAAGTCTACTTACTGTAATGTTTTTACTGCCTTTGTTGCTGGATCTTATTTTCTCAGTAATTCTTCTCTCTTCCCTCCTTCTTGTCTACCCTTAATTTGGTTTTTGAGAAATAGTAAAGCAAAGCTATAGCTAAAAGTGCATCTACCTCCCATCCATATCCTTTTATTCCCATACTCTGTTTTATTGTTATTCATTATACTTATAACTAGTTGATATTATATTGCAAAGTTGTTTATCTGTTTCTCCCAGGGACTATAAGCTATTAAGGGTAGAGACTTTGTCTCTTTCTTCACTGTATTCCCTAGTATTTAGAATAGTACCTGGCATGTAGTAAGTGCTAATTAATATTTGTTGAATGAGTAAATTAATTAATGAAGAAATAGATATATCTGGTTCTAGTACTGGCATAGCCACCTCCCTTGAGCCTGTTTCTTTATAAAATAAAGATGATCATAGTAGTTCTTAGAGTTACTGGGAGAATTAAATGAGATGATTCATAGAAAATACTTAACATAGTACATACAGTGAATACTCAGTAAATGTCACCTAACATTATTGACTTTCCAGTCTTCTTAGGTGAACTTAGCTAAAAATACTTACAGTAGATGAGGGCTCAGTGAAGTTTGTGAACTTTTTTAAGTTGTTGACTTTACCATATATTTACTTTTTTTTTCTTCTGAATTTTCAGTGGAGAATGAATAGTTGAGGTTTTCAGACTTGTGATGCTTATAAAAGGACATATTTATCTCCAAAGTTATGTACCAACCATACCATGAGAGTTCAGGTTCAGATCTTTAGATTTGTCTTACCATGGTTAAAAAACAAATGTTTAAAACAAATTAAATTAAAAATAAGACTCATTCATTCCACAAATATTTACTGAGCACCTACTATGTTCCAGATGTAAAAAACTGTACTCTTTTACTTCATGTATACTCAATGCCATTACTTTTATTATTTTGAGGATAAGCTAATATGGGTAGGACTAATAAATGTTCTTAAAGTTTTTTGTTTTCTTTTTGCTTGGGTAATTGGCTTTTTCTGAAATCTGTCCAAGGCTGTTGCCATTATTGCATTCACCTTGGATTTGTCACAAATCCTTTGTAAGGCAACTTAGGAATTATTGTAGGTGAAGTGACTTTTATATTAAGTATAATTATTTATGAATCTGTGGACTTTATTCAAATTCAAATAGGTCATATATTTTCAGGGTAGTCACATTTCCGCCTGTGTTGATGTGGTGCCTTCATTTTAAATAGAACATTGATGCAGCACTTATATAAACAAAGCAGCAGAATTTAGCTTTATGCCTTCATGTGCTTGATTGATATTTTTCATTTTGTCCTTAGGGTGCAAGTCCCAGCACTCTTAAGGAGTTTTTGTGAGTGCTAGAAGGTCAGTAATTTGAATTATGGCCTGAATAAACACTGTTTGGTTCACTTGGTTTTAAATTTCTATACTTCCCCCTGTTGTAATGACTAACTTTAAAGTGCAAGTAGGTTTCCTCCAAGGCGGATCTATAATGAAGGATAACTTCTTTTCAGATCAGAAATCATCTTGCAGGCTGAAATCTCAAAATATATTTTATCATTTGTCTCTAACCTAAAATATGCTGTTAAAGATTTTAGATTCATTTTGCTGAAGTTTTGTCTTAATGTTAGAAGCCTACATGCATACTCTAATTCTGAAATTCCAAATATTTGGTACAAATGTGAATGCACCCTTGCCCTTGCCCATGACGGACATTGCTAATTAACTGGCATACTTTCCTGCTAAGCCTTAGGGAATCCTCATCTGTGCCTCAGAGTCCTTATAAGCATTGTGCTCCAGGAAGCTACTATAATTAGTTCAGAAATGGCAAAAGTGAACCCTAATTGCCATTACTACTCTAATAGTTTGGCTGTGGCAGTAGCTGTGAATTCTTTGGATTCTCAGAGGTATCAGAATTTGGGAAAAAGGTTAAGAAAAGTTTTAAATGAAACAAAGTACACTGAAATACATTTTCAGATTGATTTAATATATAATGCCTTTACTGATATCCTTTAGAATAACACACTACTAGTAAGAACCATTTGTTGACTGCCAAATATTGACCACCTGCTATGTGCCCAGCACTATGTTAGATGCTTAACATCATTATATTGTTTAATCTTGGTAATGACTTTGCAAGGTTGGTATTATTATCCCCATTTTATAGATGAAAATTGGAGCTCAGAGATTTCAACATGTACAGGGGCCTGACATTTGTAAGTGACAGAGGCAGGATCTAAGTTCAGGTTCATTTGACTTTTAAGTTTGTGGTCTTTTTACCATATTGGTCTACTTCTCAGTTTGTATCATGGTTGATCATTGTTTTCTAATAGTGCTATATAGGTGTTTGCTGATTAAGTGTACCTATAAATGTGCTGGTTAACTGTATATAAGTGTTTGCTGATCCTATATATCCTTCTTGACGCCTCAAATGATTAACAGACTCCTTAAAGTAATGGACAAGTACTTATATTTTGTAATTATCTGCAACACTGAAAGTATATAACAACAGTGTTATGCTCAGAGCTTCTTGGAGATGTAGGTCCTGAGTACAGACCTATTCAGTAAATTTTGACTGACTAACTTCTGGCCTTCTTTAGAAGTGATATAAAAATGAAAAATAATTTTCCCCTTACATTCTTTAGATTTTTCAAAACAGTTTTTCTTTTCTAGGTAGGTACAAATAATTTCATTTAAAGAGGAAGGACATAATCTGTTCTGTTTTGGGTTTTACTATATCATCATTATACTTACCCCAGAATAAAAATGTGATACTATAGACTTCTAAATAATTTTTGTGTTCTCATTTGTAAAATGGGGATAATAATAGTATATGTGTCATTGAATTTTAGGGAGATTTCAGTAAGCCAATATATATATGTTAGTGCTGGGAGCTATTCTTGATTCTGTTCTTTTCCTTAACCCTGCCATTTCCATTTATCAGCAAATCCTATTCTCTCTACTTTTCAAAGTAATCTGACTCTGATCACTTCTCTTTATTTCTACTATTAACAGTCCAGTGCAGGCAGCCTCTACCATTTTTTGTTTGGTCTGATGGAATAGTTTAGCTAGTCTCACTGCATCCCCTCTTGCCTATTATCATGTAGCAGCTAGAGTGATCTTTTAAAATATACATAAAATTTTGTTTTTCTTCCTTCTTAAAATCCTCCTGTGGCTTTCCATTATACTTGGTATAAAGATCTAAATTCTGCATTTGGTGTAGCCTCCGCTTACTTTTCCAACTCCTCTTTGCCCTATGTGCTTTTCTTCCCCCCCACCATGTGCTTTTTGCTATACACTGCCTTCCTTTCTGTTTTTAAATTTATCAAGCTGCTTCTGACATTAGGTCCTTTCCTTCATATTATTCTCTCTGGAATGATTTGTCGCTAAATCATCTGCCATTTCTAGTTATACTGGCAAAACCTTGACATCTCTTTCCTGCCTCTCTTTTTCTCCATTGTTCATATCAACCCACAAGCAATCCTGTTGGCTTTACATTTTCAGTATATTCAGAATCTGTTTACCTTTTACCTCTTCTGCCACAAATACTTTGGTCACTGTCATCCCTGCTTGATTTGTTACAGGAGCTTCTTAATTTGTCCCCCTGTTTCTACCTTCATCATCCTACTGTACTTTTTACCTAGCAGGTAGAGTAATGATTTTTTAAAAAATGGACTTTATTTTTTAAAACAGTTTTAGATTTACAGAAAAATTGAGAAGACAGTACAGAGAGTTCTCATATACTCTGCACCCAATTTTCTGTATTCTCTTTCAGTTTTTTTTAATCAACTTCCTGAGAAGTATCCTTTATTCTGAACATTTTACATTGGTGTGATACATTTGTTACAGCTAATGAACAGTACTAATGCATTAATGTTAATTAAGTCCATGGCTTATTCATTTTCCTTGGTTTTTGCCTATTGTCTTTTTCTGTTCCAGGATACCATATTATATTTAGTTGTCATTTCTCCTTAGGCTCCTCTTGACTGTGAAAGTTTCTCAGACTTTCCTTGTTTTTGATGACCTTGACAGTTTTGAGGATTTTGTAGATACTCCAACTATTAGAATTGGTTTAATGTTCTTCTCATGATTAGGCTATGATTATGGATTTTTGGACAGAAGACCACAGAGAAGGTACCCTTTTCATCACATCATGTAAAGGGTATATACTGTCAACATGCTCTTACATGATCTAGTCCTCCATTACTTCTCTGCAGTTGTCTACCACTACTTTGTACCCTATACATTTCCAGACCGATCACTAGATCTTTGAAGTTTCTTGAACATACTAAGCTTGCTTCTGCTTTTGGGCATTTGTGTTTTACTGCTCCCTGTGCCATGGAATGGTCTTCTAGGTAGCACCATGGTTTATATCCCTACTTCCTTCTGGTTTCTGCTCATATGTCACCTTACCAAGAGGTCTTTATTGAATACATTATTTAAAAAAAATCATACAGTGCTCCCATCATTCTTTATTCTTCTACCATACTTTTTTGTCTTTTCCATTTGTCTCTACATCACATATACTTACTTTTCCATTTATTTCTCTACCACTACTAAAATGTAAGCTTCTTGAAGGTATGAACTTTGTCCTTTTTGTTCATTCTTCTATTCTCCAGCATCTGGAACCATGCCTGGCACATAGTAGGTGCTCAATAAATTTTTATAAATGAATGAATGTTTAAAATACTTTTTAGAAAGATTGTGCCAGTTTATACTCCCTAAGTAGTATACTGAAGTGTCTACTTTTCTGTATCTTATGCTATCTCTAAAAATATTTGATTTGTATAATTGTTGCTTTTACCTACATTTTGCTGGTTACTAGCAAAGTTTTAATATATTTCTAGCTGTATATTCTCTTGAATTGCTTCTTTGTTTTTCATAAGCTGTTTTTGAATTGTATATAGATACATTAGTAGTATAGTAGGTACATAAAAATAACTTATTTTTTATTCCTTAGGTTATTATAGTCACTACATCACCAAGTTCAACCTTCGTGCCCAACATTCTCTCCAAATCCCATAACTATGCAGCAGTCACTAAGCTTGTACCAACATCAGTCATTGCTTCCACAACCCAGAAGCCGCCAGTTGTTATAACTGCTTCACAGTCTTCTCTGGTCAGTAATAGCAGCAGTGGCAGCAGCAGTTCTACACCATCACCTATTCCTAATACAGTTGCAGTAACAGCTGTGGTGTCCTGTACACCATCTGTGGTCATGTCAACAGTAGCACAAGGTGAGTGCTGATTCACCATTTAATTATGTCACTGTTGATATATGGGAATTTTGCAGAAAACTCGGTGGGTATGTTTTTCTGCTGTGGATATGAAGATCCCTACTGTTAGACCCAAGGTTATCATCCCTTGCCCCCAGTTTGAGAATGTCAAGATGGTAGGTTATTCCATTTTCTTATATTAATGTGCTTGCCCCAAGTTGTTTTACAAATGCATAGTACCTAGTTACTTGGGCTGCTAACATTCACAAAATGTAGGTTAAATCTTGTCACAACAAATTTCAAAGGGCTGTACAAATGTCTTTAATATAATGAAATTTTCAAATGAGAAATTTGAAATTATATTACCTAGGTTTTTCAGAGGAAACATCAAGTACGCAACCTCTTTAAAGCAAGTGATAAGTAGGAGGAAGAAGGTTGTTTCAAGGTATATCCATTTGTTTTTTCTTCAGTCTCCAAAACTTTTCTTTTCTTTTTGTTGAGACAGGGTCTTGCTCTGTCACCTAGGCTGGAGTGCAGTGGAGGGAGCCATCTTGGGCTCAAGTGATCTCCTGGGCTCAAGTGATCCTCCCACCTCAACCTCCTGAGTAGCTGGGACCACAGCCACACACCACCATGCCCAGCTATTTTTTTTGTATTTTTGGTAGAGACGGGGGTCCCGCCACGTTGCCCAGGCTGGTCTGGAACTCCTGAGCTCAAGCAGTCCACCAACATCAGCCTCCCAAAGTGTTGGGATTACAGGCATGAGCCACTGTGCTCTGCCAGTCTTCTCAATTTTTCTCTATGCATAGATGATAGAAGTATTAACTGAAGAGCAACTGAGAGCTGAACTCAAGAGCAATTGTTGCTTAATAGCAGAGGAGGCTGGGTGTGGTGGCTCACTCCTGCAATCCCAGCACTTTGGGAAGCAGAGGTAGGCGAATACTTGAGGTCAGGAGTTCAAGACCCTCCTGGCCAGCATGGTGAAACCCCATCTCTACTAAAAAAATACAAAAATTAGCTGGGCATGGTGACTTGTACCTGTAATCCCAGCTACTCCAGAAACTAAAGCAGGAGAATCGCTTGGACCCAGGAGGTGAAGATCGTAGTGAGCCAAAATCACACCACTGCACTCCAGCCCCAGTGACAGAACAAGACTCAAAAAAAAAAAAGGCAAAGGAAAGGAAATGTGGAAATCTTAGTTTCGTTTTAGCTTAAATTAGTTTCTCTTCATAACTTTGTGTTTCTTGTTCCTCCCATAAGAAAAACAAATAGCATATTGTCAGAAATTTCCTTTTTTCATTGTTTGTAGGTCTTAAGACAGGGATCAGAGAGAAGCATATTTTCTACAGAATTCATACCCGTATTTTTAGTTTGTCAAAGGGAGCTTGGAAGCAATATAGAAGGGTACTTGGTGTTTTCATTGAGTTTTATGTGAATAATATAAAACTCAAGACAGATTGGGACTTGGAAATACTCTAGTTTATGAACTAGGAGTGAGTACAAGCACTCAAGTAGGAAAACAGTGTCTTGATTGCTTTAATGATATATTGTATGTTTTATGTAACTGTTAACAAGGAAGAGGTTACATAGATATGGATACAGTCAGTATTTCTTCACCCTACAGCTGTTATAGTAGGATATTGGAGCATCTGTCATTATTTTCTGGCTCTGATACCTATTTAATGTCTCAATCAATGACAGGAAGTAGCAATCTTCAAGTTTCCTTTCATGTTACCTTAATTAAAAAAAAAATCCAACATTTCTATTTGTACAGCAGTGAATGAGAATATAGTCTTATTAAATACAGAAATATATGTATTTTTTGAGATAGAGTCTCCCTCTATCTCCAAGGCTGGAGTGCAGTGGTGCGATCTGGGCTCACTGCAACCTCTGCCTCCCAGGTTCAAGCAATTCTTCTGCCTCAGCCACCCCAGTAACTGGGACTATAGGTGTGTGCCACCACGCCAGGCTAATTTTTATATTTTTAGTAGAGACGGTGTTTTGCCATGTTGCCCACGCTGATATTGAACTCCTGACCTCAAGAGATCTTCCCGCTTCAGCCTCCCAAAGTACTGGGATTACAGGCATATGCCACCACACCTGGCCTAAATATAAAAATAATTGTTATATAGAAAATCTGTTTAAAATGTTGGTTACAAACATGTTCCAAATTCACCTTTTTTTTTTTTTTTGAGATAAGAGTTTTGCTCTTGTTGCCCAGGCTGGAGTTCAATGGCACCATCTCAGCTCACCACAGCCTCCACCTCCCAGGTTCAAGTGATTGTCCTGCTTCAGCTTCCTGAGTAGCTGGGATTACAGGCATGTGCCACCACGCCCAGCTAATTTTATATTTTTAGTAGAGATGGGTTCCTCCATGTTGGTCAGGCTGGTCTTGAACTCCTGACCTCAGGTGATCTGCCTGCCTTGGCCTCTCAGAATGCTGGGATTACAGGCATAAGCCACCATGCCCAGCACCAAATTCACCATTTTAAAAATTGAAGGTTGAGAGACGAAAAGGCCACCTGACTCCTCACGTGACTAACCCATATGTCAACACTAATATAAATTATCATGTATTGATAGTTGTTTTTCTCTGCCAATACTCATGAGACAGTTTGCTGGTTTTACTATATTGGGAAGATTAGTGTTCTTACAAGATAGATGTTACTATTTCAGATGAGAGTTATTTCTCTTGGTTACTAATGAAATATCCTCAAGCAAAATGAATATTTCATGCTTCTGTTTTTCATTCTTAATTTTCTCCAGGTAGACTCTGAATCTCTTAGGCACTTAGGACTTCCTTCATTTTCTCCTTTGCTGCTTAGCATTCTACATCTCTTTGTGCCTTAAGTAATTTTTAGGGGAGCTGGCTGTGACATCTCAGAGGTTTCTCTTAAAGTCACTGGAAGTTAATAGAGAATAAAGGATGTGAAAGTAAACTCTCTGAATATAGATACTCAAGGAAACAATGTGATTGTTTTGTTTCCATTTGAGATATTTAATTTAGATGTTATTATTAGTACTAAGAAATCAAGGAGTTTTATTTTTTTTAAAAGAGGCAAATATTGGTGGAAATGGTAACACACAGACTGCATTTGCGATTCTGCCTGCACAGCTTCTGTAGTAGCTCCTGTGTGGGTACCTCAGGCACAAGGGCATTCTGTGTCTGCTTCTGTTATGGACTAGAGACAGACTAGTTTAGAGCCAATGTATCTCTGGTTATATTTGCAGGGGTAGCTGGTGGTAGAGGGAAAAGGGTCTTAGCAGTAGCTTGGTAACTGGCTCCATGTTTCTAAGTGCAGTGATGGTCCACACTGCATTAATTAATGTGGTTATGTCTCTTAACTTAGTGGTCTTCTTTCTCTTTCTTTTGTCCTTGGAACTTAGTTATTGAAGAAATAATTAAGTTTTCCTGAGAGTTTCCCATAGTCTGAGTTTTATTGATTTCATCCCTGTAGTATAGTTTAACAGGTTCTCCTGTTCTATGCATTTCCATAAAACTGGTTGCTAAATCAAGGAGCTTGATTAGATTCAAGTCGAATTGTTTTTGGAAATAGGAAGAATGAACATTTTATAATGTTACTTCTTGTTGGATTTTTTTTTTTTTTTTTTTTTTTGAGACAGTCTTGCTCTGTTGTTGCTAGGTGCCAGGCTGGAATACAGTGGCGCAATCTCGGCTCACTGCCTCAGCCTCCCAAGTAGCTGGGACTATAGGTGCGCACCACCATGTCCAGCTAATTTTTGTGTTTTTTAGTAGAGATGGGATTTCACCACGTTGGCCAGGATGGTCTCCATCTCTTGACCTCGTGATATTCCCACCTTGGCCTCTCAAAGTGCTGGGATTACAGGCGTGAGCCACCATAGCAACCCTTGTTGCATCATTTTAAGAGACACATAATGTCTGGTTTTCCTTTTAGTGATGTTAGCACTGACTAGAGGATACAATTGTTACCAAATGGTTTTAATAGCTATTGATAATCTTTGCCTAGATCTATTATTTTATTGGTTGTTGCAAAATGTATTTTATCTTTATTTTCATTTATTAGCTGGAATTCTTAAAGAACTTTCCTTTATTATTATTGCTTATGCTGAGGTACAATTCATATGGGAAAAGCAGGATAAATACCTGATTACTTCTCTTTATTTATATATTTTCAGATGAATTGGTTCAGTGGCCAATAAGATTTTCACTCCCCATATCATTAAGATTTTTGATGTCTATCTGCACATTGCAGATCTGCCTTCTATTGCTCAATTGTTCCATCCTTTCTAGTAGGAGCCTCTTTAAGCTGGTTTCTAAATATTTTTGACACAACTACATTAGTCTTTAATAGCATCCTTATTTTCTGGTATATTGAAATGTTTCAGGTTCATCTTGTACATTCTATCTCCCAGACTTGAAATTAGACATTTCTTACAGGAGTGCTGGTTTCTTAGTGAAAAATTGTGGTTAGATACCACAATCTGGGCATTGTGGGGGTAGTCATTACTACTGCATTGGTCATTGTTTCTACATTTTATTGGTGGACAAAGCTAGAGTTCTCTTTTTTTTTGAGACAGGGTCTTACTTTGTCACCAGACTGGAGTGCAGTGGCGTGATCTTGGCTCACTGCAACTTTTGCCTTGTAGGTTCAAGCCATTCCCCTTGCCTCAGCCTCCTGAGTAGCTAGGACTATAGGTGCGTGCCACCATGCCCGGCTATTTTTTTTTAACATTTTTTTTTTTTTTTAAATTTTAGTAGAGTTGGGGTTTCCCCATGTTGGCCAGGATGGTCTTGATCTCCTGACCTCATGATCTGCCCACCTTGCCCTCTCAAAGTTCTGAGATTACAAGCCGGAGCCACTGTGCCGGCCATGAATAATTTTTTTTACTTATTTGGAATAAAAGGTTCATACTCTATTTGGTAGCATGCTTTCTTCATATATCGTTTTGTTAACATTATTCTGTTTTTCTGTAAATATCCTAATTATTTTCAGAACTGTTTAATAGTTTTATTATTGTTGCATAATTTATTATATTAT